GGGGCACCCCCGTACTGTCTGCTTCAATCTTCCTCAATAAAATACCTCCAATATCCTAAAAATAAGACATAAATATATCATAGTACTTAAATTCATCCAAATAATAAATAGTTGAAAAATATATAAGCGTGATAATGTTTAGCATATAAAAATAAACTAGTAAATATATAAAATACACACTTTTTCCGACCAATCAAATCTCCCCAAACTTAAACCGTTTCTTGTCCCCAAGCAACTTAGAACTATAAGCACATAGATGGATAAGAAAACAAGTACGTGGAATATTTGCTCAAGACCTCACAATTCTCACATGAGTGCATAGCTCAAACAACTCAAATCAATTTATCTGGACTCAAGATGAATTTATTCTAAAAACGCAAACACATCAAGTATCAATCCAAGTGACCACCATAGTTTGTCAATCTCTATAACGAATGCACCGATCAATGCAACTATGACACCCCTCTCTTTGCTAACAAGTCTAGTTTCTTTCCCTTTCTAGTCAAAGTCTAAACGTCTCATTCTCCATTTTTTTTTTCTCTTTTTTTCTCTCTCTCTCTCTCTCTCTCTCTCTCTCTTTTTCTTTTTTCGAAGTAGGGAACGACAGCTCCGTCACAACCCGCAGGTTTTAGGCTTTCGTGATTGTCTCGAAACAAGAATTATTGGAGTTATACACTAGAGCCCCCACGAATTGACAACTGTTGCAGCCCATGACTCCATCTTTTTTTTTTCTTTTTTTGTGCCAAAACGGCTTTTCAACTCCACCAATTATTCTCCATCCTCATTATTCTTTTTTTTTTCCCCGACTATGAGACATAGAAACCCCAACTTTCAACTTCAAGTCCCCAAACTTAATCAACATTGATTAAAACAATCACAAGCACATCTCAACAATACAAATCGCCTCAAAACTAACTCACTACAAATAAGTTACAAAAATATCAACCATCATGCCTTTGTCCCCAAAATAAAAACACCTCAAGAATTTAACCAAATAAAATTAACTCAAGCTATTTAAACTAGCACAATAAATTCAAACCGACTCTCATGTCATCATCGCAAAATTCTACGTACATGCAATCTTATGCTCACACAAGACTAACAAATATCATGGAACTCAATCTAAGAACTCAAACTCTAAGGGGTAAAAATATAATCACATAATAAATCATGAATGCTCACCAAGAAACCACCTCCCCAAACTTAGAGTTTGCATATATCATTGACACTCAAATAAACACAAAAGAATAAAAACGGAGGTAAAAGAAACGAGTTCACCTTAGTCAACGAAAAAAAGGTCGTCGAACCACGCATACACCATTGGGTTGCCTCCCAATAAGCGCCTCTTTTTATTGTCGTTGGCCCGAATTATTTCTCCCTTTCATCAAAGGATCCATGGCAGCTTCCAAGGTGGCCTCAAGGGGGCCATACAACGCACCACACCATGCTTGACGACATCCCCACTCTCCGATGTTGGATACTTCACCCGATCTTTCCTCCATGGAGCTGGTCCCTCAAAAATGTATAGCAACCCACGCTCACTCATGGTCATCATCTCATCAAACTCCACTTACACCTTTCTTTTTTCTCGATCGTCTCAAGAGAAGGTATATCGAGGCCCAAGACATGCTTCAGTGCATCTTTACTCAGTACCCACTTCATATTGGAAGAAATGAAACAAGGTTCAGCTTCTATCGGCACAAGAGCGGGGAGAACGATACGCTTTTTGGCTCCAGCAGGTCGAGTATGGGGTACCCTCGTATTCTGCTGCTTGACCCCATATTCTGCAGCTTGATTCTTTTTTTCGCTCTCATTCTTCTCGATATTCGTGGTTTTCTCATTCTCTGGCTCGTTTGTGCACTCTTCAAGTTACTCGAGGTCCTCGCTGCATGAATGAGTGACGCTTGAACTCATTGGACTAATTTCAAGCCGACACACTTGTCGGTCCATTTGTTCAACCAATTGGCTCATTTGGACTTATAAGTTCCTTATGCGTAGTCCTTGGTTCTTGATGCTCGCCTCAATATTTTGCTGAAAGTTAAGGGTGTGAGCCGTCAACTCCATCATCATATCCTCGAGCGACGGACCATGATCTCTTTCAACTAATGGCTCGCAGTACTCTTGCTGAAATTTCAACGAGTTCAACGTCAATGCCTCAATCATATCCTCGAGCGACGGGCTGGGATCTCACACAATTGGTGGCTCGGAGTACCCATAAAATGAGTTCGAGTGCTCTCTCAAGTGGTATCCATACTCATCGGTATAGAAGTAGTCTTGCTCGTTCATTCACCAACCACTATGTCCTCTTACGCCTCGATCTCCAATCCACGTGCCTCGTATCTCCCTCTCATACTGGTAAGGTGCTTGGTGGGAATAAAAAGAGTAAAGTGCATTTTTCGTCCTGTATGTTTACCCCTCCAAACATTTTAGTCCTCTTCGAATTGTGTTTTTTATTTCGTCCCGTATGTTTGAAAAAAGGTTACAGTAAGGTCCTTTTCGCAACAAAAAGGTCCTTTATGTTTTGCAAAAAGGTGTTCACATTTCATCCTTTATGTATGAAAAGGACATCTTTGTAACCTTTTTTCAAACATACGGGACGAAAAATCAAAAACGCAATTCGAAGAGGACTAAAATGTTTGGAGGGGTAAACATACAGGACGAAAAATGCACTTTACTCGAATAAAAATCGTGATAATAGGCTGCCATCTAGAAAAATTACGCCAATCACCCAAAAACAAGTTATTCTCGCGAGTATGGGGTCAATCACGCGAGTATGGGGGCGCCTAGTATTCTGCAAAAAAAAATAAAAGAAAGAAAAAGAGGGGGTAAAGTATGATAAAAATGAAATCCTAATAAGATAAAATAAAATAAAATAATTCACTAAAAAAATCACAATTCAATAACGACACTCCCCGGAAACGGCGCCAAAATTTGACCGCGCGTCGCAACGCGGCAAAATTATAATTTATATTTTTCTTAACCAACCTCTACTACTTAGTAGTAGTGGTGAGCAAGGGTCGATCCTATAGGGAGTGTAGATCGAATCGTGAATTTTTTCGTATTAATTGAAATTATTATGAAAACAATAAAAGGGGGGATTTTGAATTAATAACTAATCTATCTAAGAATGAAATCAAAACAATAAAAATAAAAATAAAATAAAATAAATAAGAGAATTTTCTAGTTCACGGTTCCATCTACACCCTCGACAGCCTCATCTAATCAATTCTGGTATCAAATCTCGTTATCTTATGAAATTACTAGCCCTAGGCAACGACACGTTCTGTTACCTGAATTTTTCCTTATTTTTAATCTAACTGGAGACGCTCTACGTTCAGGATTTGGACTTTTGTTCTAGATTAACCAGAATAGTT